AAAAATAATTGTGTTTGGCATAAAGAAAATGAAGACTTTTCTTGGGACTTTTTGTGCAATTACACATTTCCACTCAAATTTTCTTTTTTTTTTGTTACTATACTAAAATGCTAAAAATAATCCTCCCAAGACAGTTTGTTTAATTAAAGACAAATTAAATTGACTTAAAATATTACTTTGATGTACAAATGGATGGAAATGTACTGTGGTGTGATGCGCTCCTTTTAAAACTTTTTAAATGGCATTTTAGTTATTAAATTATATTGTTACATTACATTATATTATGACCACATGCTTTTATGGACATATTAATTGAGAGAGTATATGGCATGTTTGTACTTAAGTTATTTTGCCACACCATTTGACTATTAAAATGCAAAAAGAGAAAATCTCAGTGGCCCTAGCTTGGAAGGCCAAACAAAGTCGTTTCACTTTCACAACGAAACACAGCGTCTTCACGACATGGTGGCGGCGGCAACAACAATACTACAGCGAGAATAAAAGTTGGCAAGTAACTGGAATTGCCAGTAAATTTCACAAATAATTACAAAGAAATGTCAAGAAACATTCTGAATATGAAATTTTCAAGTAGAAAAACTGAAATAATATTTTTTCGTAAAACATTCTCCAATAAACTTCCAATATTTACTTCATTTGTTTATTTATTTACAGTCTATGCAAGTATTATTTCTCTATTTTCATACAGTACTTCAACTCGTGGACCACATGCTTTTATGGACATATTAATTGAGAGAGTATATGGCATGTTTGTACTTAAGTTATTTTGCCACACCATTTGACTATTAAAATGCAAAAAGAGAAAATCTCAGTGGCCCTAGCTTGGAAGGCCAAACAAAGTCGTTTCACTTTCACAACGAAACACAGCGTCTTCACGACATGGTGGCGGCGGCAACAACAATACTACAGAGAGAATAAAAGTTGGCAAGTAACTGGAATTGCCAGTAAATTTCACAAATAATTACAAAGAAATGTCAAGAAACATTCTGAATATGAAATTTTCAAGTAGAAAAACTGAAATAATATTTTCTCGTAAAACATTCTCCAATAAACTTCCAATATTTACTTCATTTGTTTATTTATTTACAGTCTATGCAAGTATTATTTCTCTATTTTCATACAGTACTTCAACTCGTGCGTCCATATTTTTGACTTGGAAGGCATCACTTTCCCAGTCACTGATTCGAATGAGACCGACTTGTGTTTTATCTGTCAGTCTCACAGCTCCTCTTCTTTATTCTCTCTCTCCCTCTCTCTGTCATTTGTCGCTTGTTTTCAGTGACGTCCCACCCGTCTGTTTCCCCATCACTTCATCTTCCTCATTGTATCCTTTCTTCCACTCTCATCCGTACTCATTCTCTCCTCATCCATCACCCACTCCTTTTCTTTTTTGTCACAACCCACCCCCACCACACCTCTCTCTCTCTCGCTCTTTCTCTCTCTGTGAGTGTGTGTGTGTGTGTGATCTGCTCCTGCTGTCTGCTCCACACATTGTCCAAGATGTTCAGCTCTGATCAAGCCATCATGGCAGATGCTTAATTGTGTCTGCCAAGTCTGTGATGTGCCCACAGTCCCACAATCCCCTGGCACTCGTGCTCATATATGGCACTGGTCTTTTTCAGGTGGGATGCTGTTTCCTGGCATTTAGCTCTGAAATGTCATCAGGACAGACAGGATGTAAATAGAAGAGGACTAGTTTCTAAGTGCACAATCCAAGCTTTCAGGTTTATTTATTAAATTACTTACTTTGGATGGCGTCTCAGGACACAATGTTGGTTTTGATAATTCTGTGCCACTTTGGCTGAATAATTATTATATATATTTTTTTTAAATTTTACTGATTGACTTTGTGTTGGTAACAAACATTCCCTTTCAGTCGCAGCTCTGATCAAGCCATCATGGCAGATGCTTAATTGTGTCTGCCAAGTCTGTGATGTGCCCACAGTCCCACAATCCCCTGGCACTCGTGCTCATATATGGCGCTGGTCTTTTTCAGGTGGGATGCTGTTTCCTGGCATTTAGCTCTGAAATGTCAGCAGGACAGACAGGATGTAAATAGAAGAGGACTAGTTTCTAAGTGCACAATCCAAGCTTTCAGGTTTATTTATTAAATTACTTACTTTGGATGGCGTCTCAGGACACAATGTCGGTTTTGATAATTCTGTGCCACTTTGGCTGAATAATTATTATATATATATTTTTTAAATTTTACTGATTGACTTTGTGTTGGCCGGCTCGGCTCCTCAGCGAAAACCTGAATATGCGCTGCACCTGCTGCCTACTTATACTCACGCTGTGATCAGCAGCAGCTGGATGCAATAATCGCATGCCAATGTGCATTGGCTCGTTTAGTTTACACTCGAAGTAGATTGGTCCCTCTAAGCGAGATCCCAATTTCGTCGGTCCTCCGACGTGACGTCTCCGTTCCCTCCTTCAGGGAACGAGGGTTACATACGTAACCGAGACGTTTCGTGTGGTTTCAATGCAGTGGTTTCCTTCAGTGGTAATTCATAAAAATGAGTATTCTGTCACTATTTGCTCACTCTCATGTTGTTTCACATCTGTGTGACTGACTTTCTTCTCTACACTCTTACAAATAAAGTTTTTTTTAGCAGTGATGCCATAGAAGAACCATATTTGGTTCCCCAAAGCACATTTCTTAAATTAACCAATCTTTGTTAGTGTGAAGAGTTTTATTAATCTAAAGAAACTTTTTCCACTATACAGAACCTTTAGTTGGAACAATTGGTGCCAATAAGGAAACTTTATTTTTTATAAAACCTTTACTGGTGTGTAGAACACAGAATGAGATATTTTGAAGAATGTTCATGCTGCGTTTTCCATACAATAAAAGCAGACAGTGACCAAAAGTGTCAAAAATTATCATAAAATAGTCCATACAACTTGTGCACTGTGTATTCTGTGTAAGTATTGTGTACTGTGTAAGTCTTGTGATATCAGACAGCAGTTTTGTTTGAGGAACAGACTGAAATTTAAATCTTACTGTTAGCTGTAGGTCTATTTACATTTTCACATATTTCATAAACTTGGCACATCATGATTGGTTATTAGACAGCTTGCTGTATCTTCACACAGTACACCTTAAAGAATTATTGTGAATTCATATATTAATGCTAGACACATTAAGGATAACATGTACCAAAAATCTTTGTCATATCTTTTCAGTACTTTACTAGCCTTTTGTTTTAGCGCTTTTCATGGTGCAAACATGAAAACTGCTCTGGTCATGTGACAATTTGCACTAACCATGTGACACTTCACATATTTAATTGAGACTCTATATTTTTTTTACATATTTGCAGGAAATGCACTAAAACACCAGTCAGTAGCATTTTTAGAGCTTTATAAATGAAAACCTTCTTTACTGTCACTATTGTGACCGGTGGGATTAAATTAATTAGACCGACATTAATGTTTCCATTTCATTGCCTTATTATTTAATTTTGCAAGCGGTGCATGTTTCCATGTCTTTTCCTCTTTCATCATCTCACAGCATGCAGTCACACTCTCACTGAATTCTCATTAAACAGCTCTTTACAGCGAGCCTCACAGGAGAGGGCGGCGGGACGTGGGGACATGTCGGCAACTCGCCATCCTTGTGTTCCACGTATTAGCAGACAGTGTCGATACACTCCTGAGCAAATGCATGCTATAATGATAAAAACCAGTTCTTTGATGTGTGAGGAGTTTTAAGAGCCACTTTGAAATGCTTGATGATAAAACAAGTGTTTTTTCTCATTCGGAGGAAATCATGTAAAGTGCGTTTGGAGAGACTTCTCTTAGGAAATAGTAAATAATGCAAAAACATGGTATTTCAGATTTTTTTTAAAAGACAAAATCTCTCTTCTGAACCACTTTTATGATGAAATTTCACACTGTATATTTGTTATCTTTGCATTAATATACTTATTTGCATATTTGAAAGTTTAATAATGTTACTTGGACAAGCGCAGCACATGACAAGCACAAATGTTTTAATAACTGCTTGTCCATGTGTGGAAATGTCTCATCACACCAAGGTTTTTATGTGATTAACATTATCAGAATGTTCTCTAATGGTCATGTTTGTGTTTTTTATAACCTATAATCAACTATATTCAGGGAAGCAGTTGTTAAGTGTAAGTCAATGCAATTTCTGTCATGTTTGATGTTTAGATGCTAAAAGAAATGCACAATGTGTGTGTGTGTCATTTAATATTTGACAGGAATGAAAACCAGGCTAAGAGGAATTGAAGTACAGTGTGTTGAATGGATAGTATGGTTGTTTAACAAGCATACCAATTGTTTAACCGAGGAAACATCTTTCAGAAAAAGAAATGTTGCCAAAAGTTGCCAAAAACCCCATAAAACAGTTTTGAAAATTTCGTGATCTAGGACCTTTATACAGTGTGTGCCATTGTAAAGACTGTACATCTATCCCTCACTGCCTCATTTTCATCAACATTAAATTCAATATGGCATCTAACCTGACTATAGTGTATAGGAAGTGTATGATTGGTTGCCTGTTGCTAAATAACTCTGGCACCACAACTAGTGTAGTTTAAAAAGCTTGTATGATGCAGATATAATTGTACATATGCCATTTATTCAATAGATCAGGCATTTTCCACTGGCTCCAAATGTGTGGCAATAAGGATTATGTTCTGTTGAAGTTTTGAAAGGTGTTTGATGTCGCGTTTGATTATCTCACAGATCATCTGAATTTGAAAGAATCATTACTGAGATGGTCTGTTGTTCTATAGTTCCTGCAAAAAGTATTTTGCAGTTTAAGAGTTTGACACATAAAAAAGTCTCTTGTGTCAAAAATCCTTTGATAGTCCTATCAAAATCATCAAAGTCTAAAAGGAGAAATGATCATGCAAATTAGTTGTCACAGCATGCTTTAAACTTTTATTCCAGATCATTCCTCATCTGAATCACTCATCTAAATATATGTCCTCTCAACTCTTTCTCTCTCTCAGATGGTGGCATTAGAGAGGCAGGTGTTTGATTTCTTGGGCTACCAGTGGGCTCCTATCCTTGCAAACTTCTTCCACATCCTGGTTGTTATCCTGGGTCTTTTTGGCACCATTCAATACAGACCTCGCTATATTGTGGCGGTAAGTGCTGCTTTTAATTTATCTTTACTATGATGACCTTGTAAATCTCACAAAAAACTGTTCAGGTCATATTTTAATCACCAAAATTAAAGTTTGGATATTTTACTTTTGGATTTGTTTTCAGTTTTGATTCTTCTCAGTTGTCATTCTCATTAGATTGTCATCTCATTGCTATGGAAGCTTGTTTCTGCCATGGAATAAAAAAAGCGACTTTCTTCTCACAATTTTGACTTTTTCTTACAATCGTTTGGTTATATCTCTCAATTCAGACTTTTTTCTCGCAATTCTGAACAAAAGAAGAATTGTAAAATGTTGCAAATTACGAGTTTATAACTGTGAGATATAAACTCACAATTAAAAGGAAAAATGTCTGAATTGTGAGATAAAAAATCGCATTTACCGTTTTTTATTCTGTGGTGGGAAAAAAAATATAATGTGAGATAAGTCGCAATTACCAGCTTTTTATTTTTCAATTCTGTGGCAGAAACAGGCTTCCATACATTACAATAAATCATATAATGTGAATAAAATAAATAAGCATGAATTAAATGCATTACAATAATGAAAACAATAGTTAAGATTATAGGAATCGTCATAAAATAATCACAAAATGCAAAACAACAACAACAAAAATCATGTTATTTTTCATTCTGTTCATTTTGAAATATGACCCGGACATGTTCTTGACAGGCTTTGCTAGCTAAAAATCTGTTTAATATCAGTGTCAATTTGGATCTGTTCCTTTATGACAAACTGTTTTAGAAATGCTTATACGCAAATAGTGTTTGTGACACATGCAAATCTGCTTACTGTTGATGAAAGACAGCAGGCCTCTGAAGCAGAATTGAACTCAGCCCCTAGCTGATAATGGACTCGCAGCACTGCAGACACTGGACTAGCCTTATACTTTGACACATTCTATGGCATTTTAATCCCCTAAATCTCCATCTAATTATCTTGAATTAAATTATTAGAGTCCAGCTCCCTTCAGTTCCTCACTGGGTCAGTCCATGATGCAGCTTCACTTCAAGTTCAACAGGATTATCAAGCCTTTAGTTCAGTTGATGAGACGGGAAGCAAGCTATTTTTGGAGTTTTAATATTCATACAGAATTTTTTTTGATAACCAATAGTCTTCAGTTTACATCATAGCTCAGTGAATCCATGGCTATGTTTGAAATAGCATAACATTCTATTCTTCTTATTGCTACATTATAATTTATAATTCATATCTGAATATAGCATACTGTGCACAGTATGCAAATTTTCTGCATGCTTTGAAAAAAATGAGACGGCCTACTAAGTTTGCCAAAATGTGTATATTGTGTAGAAGAATGTATGCATGACAAATAAGCTAGAAGTAACATCAGCGCACAGTCAAATATCTATTTTGATTTCTTATTTAATCAGACTGACAGACGTCAAGTCATTTTTAAACAAAATGGGGTTAAATGTTGTTATTTTTATTTTTTTATTCTAAGATAGACACTGTGAGAAACATGAAGTCATGCAATATCAATGCAAAATACTATTGTTTGAAACTTTCATCAATGTATAGTTTTCCACTATTAAACTATTAAAAGATACAGTGTATATTGCTCATTATGCTCTAAATACTAAGTTAATATTCCCTTCCAATGCATTATTTGCTATGCATTTTGCTAGTGTTTTGCTGATATTTGTGAGCATTTTCATTCTGGATCGCATTAAAACTGATATAAAGATAGTAAAATATAAAACTGAGAGGATGAGTTAATTAGCCACTATTTTTACTGATCTCTATAATAATACACTGAGCTGCTCATTATACATTAGATTTACACATATGATTACACCAAAATGTGATGCTAATTAATTTCAAACAGAAAATTCTCACATGGTGAGTAGAAATATCAAGTTAATCAAAGTGACAAAAAAGTTGAGAAGCCAGGAATAGAACAAAGCCGTGAGAAAAGGCAGAAGGACGAGCCTGGAAACAAGACTTGCGGTGCTGAGACTCCTGGGAATGGTGAGGAGTATTGCTCAGGCTTGTGTCACGTCTGCTTCACAATGGGTTCAAATTACACCAGTCACCATATAATAGTGATTTGACGTGTGAATCATTCTGTCTGAGGTGCATCATTTCCCTTCAAGACATTCATTTTCTGAGCGATAGACGTATTAAAGCCTTAGTCACAAATGGATACAGTATCCTGTCAAACAATCAGTTTTAACTTTAAATGAACATTCTGTGTGAAATACAACTTCTTGTCCTTCAATTTATAGAAAAAAATGTAATGCAGTTATCTAATGTGCAATGGAAGTCAATGGCGTGATTGAAACAAAGTGCTTATGAGCAGAAATGCGAAGCTCGTATTGTTGTTAAAGCTCTTACATAAATTATGTAGTTTAAACATTTATTATGTGATCTGTAACGTTGTCCTTTGAGGTGGTACTGCTTTTCTCGGTGGGTGGATGAATCTGCGGTAATGTGTTAACAGTGTAATTCCTGTGGATGGAGTTTGCCTCATGTAAACTTTCACAACTTTCCTCCATTTGAAACTTTGTGTGAAACTCAACTATCAAAAATAGAAAAATCCTCAGACAGTCTTCTGATCTTTGTATATCAGTGGAGGAAATCCCAGTGGAAGGTGTTTTGAAAAACTCTTTTGTAGGAAATTGCTCTATAAAGTCATCTCAAGCTGGTCTTCTGTAAGGGACTGACAGGAAACCTGAGATCCATTTTTACTCTTGTGCGGCATACACTTCTGTATTCTCTTTAAACTCCCCATGAGCACTATCTGCTTCATGATAATGACAAAATTGAATGCACGTACCTTTTTCTGTTTCCGGGAGTTTGTATATACCAGCAGGCTCAGTTTGGAGCGCTAATTCAGATTAGCATTTCAGTGGGATTTATAGGCTTATAAAAATCCTAAATGATTGTGTGTGGTAAACAACAGTACAAACGACCAGGAAGACAAAAGGCATGGTGTTCAAATGAGATGTTCTACTATAAAAAGAAGATTGAATCAGAACAAAGAAAAATACAAATCTGGAGATAAAAGATAAGAGTGTGTAAAAGAAAGGTGCTCAGGACTGAGCTCTAAATCCAAACACGCTCACTGCGGATGTTTTCAAGCATCTGCTCGACTTCTGTCTCCCATATACATCAGCTCTGATGTTACTGCTACTCGAGCGGCTTGAGTTCAAACTTGTTCTAGATGGTAGTTAATGGCCAGCCATGTCTTGCATAAAAGTGCTCCAGTGTGGTAGTTCAGTGGTACAGTAATGGTATCAGGTGGTAAAGTAGTGGCCTAATGGTTAGAGAGTTGGACTCGTAACCCAAAGGTTGCGAGTTTGAGTCTCTGGTTCGGCAGGAATTGTAGGTGGGGGGAGTGAATAACCAGTGCTCTCTTCCACCTTCAGTACCATGACTGAGGTGCCCTTGAGCAAGGCACTGAACCCCCAACTGCTCCCTGGGTGCTGCAGCATAAATGGTTGCCCACTGCTCTGGGTGTGTGTGCACTTAGGATGGGTTAAATGCAGAGCACTAATTCCTAGTATGGGTAACCATACTTTGGCCACACTTCACTTCACTTTGATATATACTATAGTCAAGTCAAGTCAAGTCAAGTCTGCTTTATTGTCAATTCTTCCACATGTACAGCACATACACACAGAGAATTGAAATTGCGTTACTCTCAGACCCTTGGTGCATACAGATAACACTAACAGTAGAACATAAATACAGATTTAAATATAAAATACAATTATACAAATAAGGTAAAATGTAAAAAAATTTATAAAGCAGCACAAGGCGCATGGCAGATAGAGTGCAAACCAGTGAAGTAAACAACAGTGCAGATATAATGATTGTAGTGCAAAAGAGCTTATTCAGACTGATTAAAGTGACAGTGTGTGTATGTATTTGGGAGGGGGGAGTGGGAGAGTCCATCAGAGGGTCAGAGTTCAGTGGTGCATGGGGCAAAAGAGGGGAGGAGGGGCAAGGTCGGAAGGGAGTTCAGCTTCCTGACAGCCTGATGGATGAAGCTGTCCTTCAGTCTGCTGGCCCTGGCCTGGAGACTCCGCAGTCTCCTCCCTGATGGCAGCAGACTGAAGAAGCTGTGTGTCGGGTGGGTGGGATCACCTGCAATGCAGAGGGCTTTGCGGGTGAGACGGGTGTTGTAAATGTCCTGGAGGGAGGGGAGAGAGGCACCAACGATCTTCTCAGCTGCTCTCACTATGCGCTGAAGTGTCTTGCGGCAGGACGCGTTGCAGGCGCCATACCACACAGTGATGCAGCTCGTCAGAATGCTCTCGATGGTGCCTTTGTAGAAGGTGCACATGATGGGGGCCGGGGCTCTGGCTCTTCTCAGTTTGCGGAGGAAGTAGAGACGCTGCTGTGCTGTACTGAATGGTTTTACTGAAAAAAATGTGATGTGATATGAAAATTCTGTCATCATTTAGCACAAGAAGAGATTTTGGACAAATGTTTTGTCTATACTATGAAAGTCAATGGGGTCCAAAAGTTGTTTTAGACCTCTTTCATTGTATGGACAAAAAAAACACAAGCAAGTCATAAAGGTTTGTAATGACATGATGGGAAAATGCATTGTCCTTTGCCAATAGTGTAAAGATGTTTAAAGCACAGCTCACACAGAAGTCACTTTCAAACAAAGTGGCTTTCGGGTCATGTGACCAACTTGAACAAGAGCGAAATCTGCTTTGGGAGGTTTTCACCCTCACACAAAATTGCCAAATGCGCAGATTCCTATTGAAATGACTGGCTTTCGCCTGTGAAGTGTCTTCAAGCAACAGTAAATGTGACTGCACCTGTGGAGTGTAGCCTGTGTTTGAATGTTGGAACCAATTGTTGGAATAATGAATTGTCCATCTTTTTGACAGTATACTGTGTGGACAGCGCTGTGGGTGGCCTGGAACGTCTTTATCGTCTGCTTCTACCTGGAGGTTGGAGGTCTATCAAAGGTAAGAGAGATTCCCATCTAAAGTTACACATTGGTGAGCCCTCAATGTTTAGGAGTACGAGGCATTTTAATGACCCTGTTTTACAGCTAAATGTGGCTATTTATGATGTTTTTACAGACTGTCTGAAACTTTATTTAGAAGTGCTTGAAGAAGTGTCTTACTCTTAAGTTTGCATTGAACACATAAGAAACTAGTACATCTTTGTAGAGGAAATGAAATCAGATTAAAGCCTTTTGTAAAACAGAAGTTGAAGCAGTAGTTGTGTTATCCCCAACCCATCCCATGATACACTTCTGTCTACGTGTGCTGGCAGGTCATGGACTCAAACACTCAGCCCCTAGTGTGTTAGCAGTGAGAAACAAGATCGCTGTATAATTTACACATTCTCCTCTCTCTGTGTGCGCTTGTTTATGACTCCTGCTTGGCCTGTTTCCTGGACTCAGATTTCTTGTTCTCACAATGAAAGCTCTTATCCGCTTTCAGGAGGTGGAATGAAATTGGACATCTTAAAGTCTGCAAGTAAATCTGGTACATGTGTAATGAGCTGCTGTTCTTTCAGAATTAAGCTTTTCCACTATTGTCGTCGCTGCATTAGACAAAATGGCTCTGGAAGGAAATATTTGTCCCAAAAATTTTTTCCAAACTCATACAGAATTCATACATGGTAGATATTAAAGTGAAGAAGTGATGTGACATGTGGCCAAGTACTCGGAATTAGTGCTCTGCATTTATCCCATTCAAAGTGCACACACACAGCAGTGATCATACACACCTGGAGCAGTGGGCAGCCCGGGGAGCAGTTGGGGGTTCGGTGCCTTGCTCAAGGGCACCTCAGTTGTGGTATTGAAGGTGGGAGAGAGTGCTGTACATTCACTCCCCCCACCTACAATCCCTGCCGGTACAAGACTCGAACCCGCAACCTTTGGGTTACAAGTCAGACTCTCTAACCATTAGGCCACGACTTCCCCAAAATATTGGGTTTGAATGACCATGATTTTTATCAAGCAGAATGTGTTCCTGGATCAACATACTCGATTTTCCTGGAACTAACCAATCCAATTTCAGGGTTAGGTTTAGAGTTAAGTTAGGGCTAAGTTTGGGTTTGAACATAATTTAATTTCCCTCTAATTTTAAGAAAAACTAATAGTTGTGGTTGGAAATAGGGTTAGGATGACGTTTTGTTTGACGGGAATGTTGTTCCAGGTCCAACAAAAGAGGTTAATTACATCCTCCATGGTAAAATGACACTGACACTGTTGGGATGTGTAGGAATGTTCTGCATACTTGCATTGAAGATGTTTCAATACTGGTTTTGCTTCAGAACCCAGATTTTACATTGGACATCAAGTGGCAAGACAACACAGTATCAAAATTGTTTACAATACAAAATTCTTAATTCAGCAAGGATGCATTAAATTGATCAAAAGTGATCATAAAGACATTTGCAATGTTACAGAGAATCATGAAAAAATATGGTTTCCACAAAAATATGAAGCAGCACAACTGTTTTCAACATAGATATTAAGAAATAAGTAGATAATTTTTGAAGGATCATGTGACACTGAAGACTGGAGTAATAATGCTGAAAATTCATCTTTGCATCACAGGAATTGCATTTTTTTATATATTCAAATAGAAAATAGTATTTTTAAATTGCAGTAATATTTCACAATATTTCTGTTTTTACTGTATTTTTAATCAAATAAATTCAGCCTTGGTGAACATACAAGACTTCTTTCAAAAACATTAAAAAATCTTGCAGACCCCAAACTTTTAAACAGTAATTTATTTATATATTTCTTACATATCTTGCTTTGAAAAATCTCAACAGGCTTGTTCTTATAGTTTGAGTGTTTGGTTTCTCGGTGTCTCTTGAATTTCAATGGCTTCATGCTCTTAGCAGCCAATAATTAATCTCACAAAGCCTAATGTGTTCAGCACAAACCGTCCTTGTCTTTGTATCAGCTGGATTTAATGTTGTTCGAGTCATGTATTTATTTGAACCTTTTTAGTTTTGTTCTTTGCTCACAAGAGAGTTGTGTAATTGGACTCATGGCCTTGGACAATATCAACAAAAGATATGGGAAGTGCTTTCTGCACTTTAAGTTTATTTATTAATTTACTCTATGCTTATGCACTCGGTTACGTTTTATCCCACCTTTATTTTTGTGTTTTTCCTTTCATCCTCATGCTCTGCTTCCTCTGTCTCACACAGTCACGCTCCGTCACTCCCTCCCTTTTCTTTACTGTGCTGTCACAGGTGGGACGCCCTTCCCCCCAACCCCCCTCACCTCGATAAAGTCAATGCATGAATATTCATGAGCTGATTCAGACAGATCTGCTGTCCAGAAAGCAGCGAGTAGTAGCGCATTGATCCTTTCTTTTCTGTCTCTGTGTGTTTATATGTGTGTGTGTGTGTATGTGTATGTGTGTTTTCTCCATTAGCCGCTTGTCCTCCTGCTGTCCATATGTAGCAGTGAGGGAGCGCTGTTTGTCCATCTGTTGGGTTAATGCCTGAGTCCGGCCCTCTGCCACCTGCTCCTCATAACACCCCATTATTCAGCATGCACCCACTGCATTAACACGGCCCACCACAACCCTCAATGAAACACCTCAAAATATGACTGTCTCACTGCTGTCTCTACTATCATACGGCAAATGACACACCATATGATAATATCATGCTGCACTGAGGACCCCCTACTGTAAGACTGATTATGATTAGACTGTGATGAGAAGAATCGCAAACAGTCTGACATTAGATTCTATCCATCTATCTATCTATCTGTCTGTCTGCCATCTCGCAGTGTTAATCATATCTGTCTATCTCTCTGTCTTGTAACGTTGAGCATATATGTCCATCTGTCAGTGTGTTTATCATATCTGTCTGTCTGTCTCACAATGTGTTTGTCATATCTGTCTTTCTCACATTGTTTATTATGTCTGTCTGTCTCTGTGTTTATCATGTCTGTCTGTCTTGTAGTGTTTCTGTCTGTCTGTCTCTCTCGCAGTGTGTTTATCATGTCTTTCTGTATCGTAGTGTTTCTGTCTGTCTCTCTCTCGCAGTGTGTTTATCATGTCTGTCTGTCTCGTAGTGTTTCTGTCTGTCTCTCTCGCAGTGTTTATCATGTCTGTCTGTCTCGTAGTGTTTCTATCATGTCTGTCTCATATTTCTGTCTGTCTCTTTCACAGTGTTTATCATGTCTGTCTGTCTTGTAGTGTTTCTGTCTGTCTCTTTCGCAGTGTGTTTATCATGTCTGTCTGTCTCGTAGTGTTTCTGTCTGTCTCTCTCGCAGTGTGTTTATCATGTCTGTCTGTCTCGTAGTGTTTCTGTCTCTCTCGCAGTGTGTTTATCATGTCTTGTCTTTCTTGTAGTGTTTCTGTCTGTCTCACAATGGGTCTCATTCACTAATAATTGTGTAGATTATTTGTATTTATACACACATTCAATCTTCTCACAAAAACGTTCTGCCTAGTTAACAACACGTGTGTACGCACATACATTTGTTAACCTCGTCCAAATGTAAGTGAAAATGGAGTGTTCTAAATGAGCGGCCGAGCACATGAGGTTAGTCATTAACACAAATCCCGCCCAAACCATCTCCATATAAGGGCTTTCCACACAACCTTTCCTTTACAGCATTTCGTCACTCTCATCAAATATGCTTAACGCAACCCCATATATAGCTCTTTACATAAGTGTTCTTGCCAGATCCTTGATCAATGCCAAGTGCACAGTCCTCAAAACCAGTTCAAACACATAAACACATCTAAACAGACCCAGTTTACAGACTTCTCATTAGCCAGCTGTACATACTGTACTTACATACCTCGCAGCTCGAGCTAAAGGCTAACTCAGCTTTTCTTACTCTTTTACTGTATATGAAGTATTTTAAAATATTTTTAAGATAAACATACATTTCATTGTAACTATATAGTGTATATATAAATGTATATAGCTAGCCGTGTTAAATGCAATATTTTTTTACCCTGATTATTAAGTCCACCCAGAGTATGTGCTTTTTGCGTACATGCTTTCAGTTATACCTATATTTCTCATAAATTTAGAATACTTTTTAGTACGAAGGTTTTTAGTGAATCATGATTTGTTTGCAAAAACGTTAGTACACAGGTTTCACGCACAAATTTGTTCGTATGCATGCTTAGTGAATGAGACCCTATGTGTCTCGCAATGTCTGTCTATCTGTCTCTCTCTCTCACGATGTTTATCATGTCTGTCTTTCTCAGTCTCGCAACGTGTTTATTATATCTGCCTGCCTGTCTGTCTCTCGGTGGGTAGGGGTCTTTAAATAACTATTTATTGTAGTTCTTCTTGCTTGAATTGCAATTACTACTTACTATTTGCTATACAAATTCAAATTTATTTTAGAAATTGAAGTGTAATATAAGCATTCTCAATTTAGTTCTGAATGCAATAAAATGCACCTCCATGCCTGCCAGCGTAAATACATTGCAGTGTTTACAGATTTGAATTACTAATGATACAGGAAAAAAGGTGACTATTAATAATATAAATATTAATTTTAGAAGTCTACCACACAGTGCTCTTTCTTTGATCTTTAATCTTCCATGAGCAAATAGAGGTGGCTTAAAGTATTTTGCTGTCATCAACAACAAAACGGCACATGAATCTGTGTTAGCTTTGAGTGCTCCCATGGAAACGAATAATTCAGAAGACTCAAACCGCTCAGAGTCGAACCACAGAGTTGTCATCTCATAATTACGATAATTCTGACACAACATGAACATGGAATTAATCTCTCACATTCAGATAATGGAGAACCATATTAACTCTCTGAACATGAGACATGTACTTTCACTGAAGAGGAAAGGCATATTAAGTGGTTGAACACTTTATGAAATGCTCTCTCTCTCTGTCTGCTTGATTGAGGTGTTTTGGTGGGGTTGTCCTCTCATGCATGGCCGCCGGCTGTGGCTGTCAGTCTCACACTGTGGCTGTGATTAAATACGGGACAGGACAGTCTGTATCGACCCCCTCCCCGAACACACAAACACACACTCCTCTCAATGACATATAGTGACGCGTATAATGATAATGCCTGCTGATGATGAAGGGGACAAATGCCTCTGTGCCTCCATCAGCCAGAAAGAGGTCAAGGACGAGTTCCTCTCTAATAAGCATAGGAAAGTCCATAGGTTTTCATTTTGACAAGTGTCATTCATCTCATACAGCCTGAGAACTGTGTGGATTGACAGAATCCATTACATCTGATGTACACGTATCCGTGAGCATATGAGGAACATTTGCGACACAGACGCATAACTCTGAGGTGACACTTGTGTTTCACGGCACTTTCACACATGCATGCAGCATTCAGTTTAAGGACTGTGTGAATAGATGCCTACATAGGTAATCCCTTTATTTGCAGGAATATATGAATCAAGAGTCAGAAATCTTGATTTCAAATGGAAAGATGTGTTGTCAGATAGTATTGCTGAATAAATGGCACGAATTGATAGTAGGGCTGGGATATATAAGTAGAAATATGTTTTTTTTTTCACTTTTATGATGTTTGATGTATTTCTTGATAGTTATGTACTTGCTTTCATGTGTAAAATCGGTCATAAATATGACCACAACAAATAAACAATGAACGCATATTGAAAGCGATCATGTGCTTCCTCCATCTTTTGTATGTATGCGCGTCTTTCCTCCCTCTCTCATGTCTATGGAACAGATTCTTTGTTGGCCCTGTGTTAAATTATGCATGCATGCTTTACAGCGCGCAGCCCCTCTGTCACTCACTCCCTCATCCTTTATATTGACATGTGGCTGAGGCTGACGACAGCTTCTCCTCTCTCTTGTTTTAGGACAGCGATCTCTTGACCTTTAACATCTCGGCACACCACTCCTGGTGGAGCGAGCATGGGCCAGGCTGTATCCGAAGAGAGATCCCCGCCAGCGGAGACCACAGTGCAGACACACAGTCCTATATATCCATCATGGGCTGCCTGCTGGAATACCAGTACATAGAGGTCCTGCACAGCAGCTTCCAAATCCTTATCTCTGTAAGTCACTCCAAACACATACATGCACAAACAAATTATATGCCATGTTTTTACTATAGTTTATGGTCTCCCCACACTATATTTAGACTTACTATATTTGTATGTCTGCTTCTACATAGCATAACTAAAAGCATCCCATAATATATGTTTTTCCAGACACGCTTCCATCCTAATGGTGCTTTTTCATTATCTTAGGAAATAATTGGCTGTCTCTCTACACTTAACCAGTCCTTTAAAACTACAGCAGTCTAAAGTGTAGCCTGCACACACTGTGCATGTGTAAAACGCCCCTGCCTGAGTCCTGAAGCCCTGCTGTTGTGCTGAAGTGGCCCCTTGAGTTGAGGTCTGGCGCGGCTCCAGGGTTAGTTTGGCAAACTCGGTGGATTATATTCAGCAGGCAGCAAGCAGAAGGACTCTGAGCTCATTTTCTGAATAGGGATTTGTTTTTATTTGTTTTTTTGCGCACAATGGCCTCCAGAAGTAGTTGGATTTAAGCCACACTTATAATGTCTGAATTATTGCATTAGATACAAAAAGAAAAATATTAAACCAAGTGGCATCAGCAAAAACACATGCAAAATATCATATCATATCAATATAATATAATATTCAGATCAAATGTTATTTTAAAGACATTAATACTTTTATTCAGCAAGGATGCATTAAATTGATCATTTTTAATTTTATAAAAGATTTCTATTTCAAATAAATGATGAAAAAAACTGTTTCAGTTTCCACAAAAATATTAAGCAGCACAACTGTTTGCAACATTGATAATAATCAGACATGTTTCTTGATCATTAAATCACTATATCAGAATGATTTCTGAAGGATCGTGTGACACTGAAGACTGGAGGAATGATGCTGAAAATTCAGCTTTGATCACAGGAATACATATATTTGAAAATATATTCAAATAGAAAACAGTTATTTAAATTGTAATCATATTTCACAATATTACTGTGTTTGTATTTTTGGCCTTCATTACATTATTAATGTAATGTAATATTACATTACATTATATTACAGTCTGCATGTCCTTTCGGTATTTTCATGCTCATTGACTGAAGGCATATTGCTCACCGTCACACCTAAGTTGTATCTGTTCATGCTTGTTTTCGACTGTTTGTCTGAGGACTAAGCAAATATCTGTGGAAATGAAGACTGCATGTTAGAGGAGGTGGTAGGGGGGTGTTTCACTGTAGGCTTAGAAGTGCCGGAAGCTTCTTCAGAGTGATGATTATCTGCTCATGCTCCAACAATGAACTGCTAACTTCATGGTGAGAGTTGAACAAAGTGGCCTCCAGGAAGTGGGAGCTTAAACACACTCTCCAGTCAAGCTCCTACAGGCTTCTTCAATGGGAATGCAGAGATTAGTTAGAGGGATACAGATTTTTATCTCCAGTGCCCAAAGTGCTCAGCTTGTGGTCTTGTCAAAATTTGAGAATGAAGTAAGAAAATGTTTAGAAGACTGAGATGACGGCTAAAGGGCCAAATGAATCTCTTTTTTGTTTGTCAAATTACACCACAAAATCAAAAAAAAGATTAGATTTTTCATTAAGAATGAAATAATTTTTTGGACTATAAAGCCTTTTTTGCATTGTCAGTACAGAAAATAAATAAATAATTACTTTAAAGGAATCTCATTACTCTAAAAATCAAGTTAAAATTATTTCTATGTATTCAGTATATAATTATTATAATTTATATTATAATTAGTATCATGAATTCCATATAGACTTCTTACCTAATTAATTTTAAAACCCACTGAAGGGAAAAAAAAGAAAAATATATAATATAAATATATTTACACGATATTTATATAATAATAATTATTGTTATTATTATTGGGAGAAATATGACACATTTCTTGACATTTTTCATTAAATTCACGCACGCAACAAGTGGTGGTGGTGGGCAAGATTGGGAGAGAGGGGCTTGTGTCACCTGTGTGACAGATTGTTTTGTTGCTCAGAATTGAGAGGGCAAACGATAGAGCAAGCGAGTAGAGCCAGATCATAAACATTTCTGAGGTGTGTGTGTGTGTGTGTGTGTGTGTGTGACTTCAGAACTAGGTCACTATCAAAATTACTTCTGCTGTAATGAATAGTCATGTTCTTATGCTTCTGAGAATTTCACCACAGGAGTCACAAGAGGACAGTCAGAGAGTAGAGTAGGACACACATCAGAGATGACAAGTGAACAACTGAAAGAGTCATTAGCAGAGCTACATGTAAATCCCTCCCTCTATGACAACTGAGAGGTGCGTATGCGAGAGCACCATCTGTTTTCCTCATTAGTGTAACTCAGAGGGAGCTACCTGTGCAGAGAACTCATAAACATCGCCCTTCAGATGAGACCTATTCTTCTGTTCATCATCCTTCATCACGTTTCTGAGATTACGCTTTTAGCCCTCAAAGACTGATTTAGCTTTTTTTTTGTGGTCATTTTGGTCTGCCGTGATTATTTTTCTTTAAATGTTTTTGCACAAATGCAGTGATTTATTATATTATGAGGACTAGTTTGGCATTAGTATTATTATTATTATTAATATGTTTGTACTGTAATTTTTTTTAAGTTTGATAAAAGTTAACAAATGAATGTCCCAAAGTTTAGTAATGGGGTTGCAAAATTAAAATAAAATAATGTAATATTTTAGTTTGACCTGTAACATTTCGTTTGACCTCCTAAAGTTGACGGTCGACATATTTTAAAGGTTAAGCACCTTCTCTTACTCACAATTTTTTCAAAGCAAAAAAAATTGTACTGCTGTCGTAACTAGTATGTGTCTCAGTTTTCATTTCTCTGTGCTTTTTCTGTTTGTGTTTTATCAGCATAAGTGGGTGGATGAGTTCATTCCTCTTCCATTTTAGGCTCGCACTGTTTTCCCTCTTTTTTTCTCGTCTGACATCTCTTTCCTTTCATATCTCAGTTGCTTCTCTCTTCAATAAAACACTGAAGTCAAGATAAGGGAGTAGCTTCAAGAACAAGAAGAATATCTTGTTAGGATGGTATGGGAATTCATCACTTCCTTTCCCATCATGCTCTCTGCCCCAGGGAGCAAACATAGATGGCTGTATATTCAAGAAACTTTTTAGCTGAGATTCAATCCACACTGAGAATCGGGCATTATTTGAAACAGCCCAAATAATGCACACTTCCCCCCAAAAAATTGTAGCAGCTGTTAAACACCTTTTAACTGACACTGGTCCATAGATATGTGTGAACTGCAGTGTCACCTATTTTGATGCAAACATCTTCTCTAGTTTTTTTCTTCATTCATTCCATCACATATATAGGAAGGAGATGTTTAGCAGAATGTCCAGGTTGTTCTATACAATGAAAATGGATGTCAGTGAATTTTCATTATGAACTTACTACTACTTGATTACCATGGTTACTACTACTACTATTACTAATTACTACTACTGCTACTGCTGCTGCTACTACTACCAATAATACATTATTCTAGGGACTGCCATAAGATAGGACTTCAGTTATTTAAGTGCAACATTTTTAAAACGTTTCAAATGTTAAGAAATCAACCGTTTAAAAATGTATGATTCCTGGGTAAATTCCTGCCCATCTTCCTTCAGCACCCAAACACACTTTAAAAAAATGGTCATAGATGGCTGTATATTCAAGAAACTTTTTAGCTGAGATTCAATCCACACTGAGAATCGGGCATTATTTGAAACAGCCCAAATAATGCACACTTCCCCCCAAAAAATTGTAGCAGCTGTTAAACACCTTTTAACTGACACTGGTCCATAGATATGTGTGAACTGCAGTGTCACCTATTTTGATGCAAACATCTTCTCTAGTTTTTTTCTTCATTCATTCCATCACATATATAGGAAGGAGATGTTTAGCAGAATGTCCAGGTTGTTCTATACAATGAAAATGAATGTCAGTGAATTTTCATTATGAACTTACTACTACTTGATTACCATGGTTACTACTACTACTATTACTAATTACTACTACTGCTACTGCTGCTGCTACTACTAACAATAATACATTATTCTCTAGGGACTGCCATAAGATAGGACTTCAGTTATTTAAGTGCAACATTTTTAAAACGTTTCAAATGTTAAGAAATCAACCGTTTAAAAATGTATGATTCCTGGGTAAATTCCTGCCCATCTTCCTTCAGCACCCAAACACACGTTTTAAAAAAACGGTGACGTTCAAACTCTGCAGCGTTATCACAAATTCAGCTTGTTTTACGCCAATGCAGACTGTTGCTGAGCGCATGTCTGAGACCATGATTAAGAAAAGTTTCACTTCAAAGTGGCTCCCTTCACTCCCTGCGGCGGTTTAATCACTTCTCATGTGCACACAAATGTTGTAAGTGGATGTTTGATTAGACGTGGCCAGTTGCAAACATCTGAGAACAGTTTGTTTAGCCGCTCTGCAGCCATGACAGGTGGAATATTTTTGCCTGGTATTTAATCTCAGATCTGGTGGGTGTGAAGTGCTGTAAGTGTGTTTGCGTGTGTGTTGCAGCGAGAGCACTTTTGTGAAGTGATGTTGAGAGCGCTCTAATTCAGATGTGATACGGCTGTGAATTCTGCCTCCAGGCGACTGAAGTAGAGAAAGAGTCCTGTTGAAAAAACAGTATGTTTTGAAGCATGGCAGCTGGTTTGAACTGGTTAGTTGAGCTGTTTACGGAGTCTGTAAGAGTGTGTGTGTGCACATATGGAGAGGCACAGCCACACTCAATCAGCTGGATTAATTTCTGTCGCAGCGAGGTGACATTGGCACATAATTAACCTGTCAGACATCATGTTCATGTGGTGGGTCAAAGCATTAGGTTTTTGTGATGTGTGTCCATCTTTCATCTATTTAACAGACTCTGGGTCTGTTTTACTGCAGTCTCTCTTATTATTGCTCTCTCTCGCTCCGCTTTAGCCAGCTGAAATTAAGGTAGATAACGCTACTTGAGAGCAGGGAAGAAATGGAAGTGGATTTTTAGGACTGATCCTCCAGCTGGTGGT